TGTTCACCCCATCTCTGAAGAGACAAACAGAGAAGGGTAATAAAGACTATCAGAAGTGTGAATCCCTAAATACAGCAGCAGTCATACAGGGAAAAAGACAGTAACTCACAGATATGCGAGACCTACAGGACTGTGAAGGTAAAACACAGATCACTAAACGATCTCAAGAAGCAGGCTTCAAACAAAACCAAGCAGCACTTTCTCACAGTAACTAATAAAAAGACAGTAACTCACAGATATGCGAGACCTACAGGACTGTGAAGGTAAAACACAGATCACTAAACGACGATATCAAGGAGCAGGCTTCGAACAAAACCAAGAAGCACTTGGTAACTAATGAAATGTTAGGGGTAAAGTATTAATAGGGTGTTTTTTTAATAATTCATCGAACATTTCATAGATACAATCCAACCAATACAAATGTTTGCAGTCCAGCTACAGTTTCCAGCTTAGAATATCCTTGCACAGATTCTGGGAAGTAGCAAGGAGGTCTTGCTGGGAAAAGAAAATATCCTTGTGGTCTTGTTACATCTCTTGCTCTAAGCACTCATTGCTCCCACTTCAGGAGACAATACTGGCCTTGATAGAGCTCTGCTATGCCATGCAGCAGTTCTGACGTTGTGTATATTAAAACTATTCACTTTCTGCCAGATGAATCTGAACTGCCCCACACTAATATACTAGCAATGTAGTAGCATGGATATCAGATCATTAATCTGGAGGAACAGAGACACAAAATAGAGTATTCAAGAGCTGTGTGCTTTTGGGAAACAGGGATGTTAATCATAAAAGTGCTGCAGCCCCAGAGCTTTCCCAGCTCCTGTTTCAACAAGAACAGAATTACAAGAAGGCAAATTATCTTCTTCACATGTCAGTACAGATGCTGTGCAAAATTCCAATTCATCACTAAAGCCAAATTATTTCTAAGGTCCAGCAAGACAAAAGCCTCTCTGAAACAAAGCCAAAAATGGAGTTGTTAGTGCAGTATCGCTTATCCAGGATGGCTGTCATAGATGCCCAGGTCGCTATGATGCAGATGTTCAGTTTTGTGGTTTGCAATATCCAAAGCCAATTTTGCACAGTGTGAGGAAAGCCAGGGGAAGCTGTACAGTGCTTGAATTAGCTCATTGTGAGCTAAAACAGATGGCACCAAGTGTGTTCTGAAGCACTCGTCCTGTGCCGATTCTGCTGTGCCACTCCCTCAGGCAGGTGAATGCAGCATCTCCCCCTTCACATGTACACCTTAGAGAAGCTGAAGGCAGACTGATGTGAGCAAATAAATTCTCAGAATTACTAGGAAATCATGCCTTTTAACCATCCTTCTGTTCACCTGGAATTGTCTAAAATAGAGATACTAACTTCTGCAGTGAAATCCAGAAGATTCAAGTTTTTCCTCGATTGCCATTCATCTTAAGTTGTTTGGAAAAAAGGATGTACCCCCCTAGAGCACCTTTTACACATGACAAAAGAAAACAGGCTGTAATTGTTCAAACAAAAGCTTAAGCATAGGCATCAAGGAAGTACCCATTTCATAATGTCTCTGTACGAACTGGCTTGAATTTAAGGATGGAGTTTCTTAATAAAGCTTGGGAATTTCAGATGAGTTCATTTAGGAACATCTCCTGTTTTGGACATCCTTTATGTGTCTCAACCTCTCACTGAAAGATTAAAGAAAGCAAAGAAAATAAAAACGCTGTTATTTGAACAAGAGCGCCACGTAGTGTTACAAACCGCAATGGAAAGCAAATGGCAATCTCTCCCCAGAGCTCCCAAACCTGGCTAAAGGAAAAACATGGGTACTATTACACTGAATATGAAGTCTCCCCATCCTGCAATTTTTGACAGAACAGAGGACAGTGCAGCATTCAGTGTAAGGAAGAAAAACAGAGCACACCTTTTCTTAGTTCATTCTACAGCCTGCGTTTCAGCTAGCAAAAAATTACTTCAAGTAAAGCAAAGTAGCACTGAATTCCATTGCATTTGAGCTGTTTGCATTTGCCTTCACTCAAAACACATTCAAGAAACTTGGTTTGTAGTTAAGAGCAGATGAGCAGCATTTGGAGGCTGCACTTAACAACTCAATCAAAACAGTAAACCACTTGTTGCGAGACTGATCACAAGTTCCTGCTTGACTGGGAGTGTTTGCTTGTCTAGAAGAACTGAAAAAGAAATATGCTAATGCTGATTTGTCATCACAAGTTTAATCTGACAGTAAAGAGAACACTGAAACCTTCTTGATGTCTCCTTGTGAAGAGGTTTTCTTGACTTCAGTGGGATTCCTTTATGAAGCAAAGCAATGAGAATTTTTTTCTGTACAATACTTTATCATTCAAGGAAAAAAATATACAGCAGTCACCATTGTCTGTAGAACCAAACTGTCTGTCACATTGTCTTGCTGATATCAAACACTTCCATAGCCTTTTTTCCTCTCTTCTTCAAAGAGGTATACCAAAAATTTTGGAGGTCACGAGAACACAAAGATACATTTCTTTCTTTTACTAGTCATGCAGGAAGAGGGTAAGGGTGGTGGTATGAACAAACATTGAAAACATTAACAAGTATTCCCATCAAACAAGTTACAATACGGCACATAAGGTCTCATATAATAAAGTACATCATATTGCTAGCACTGGGAAGGAATACGTTATCCAAAGAGCAACTGGCAGTTTTGTCAACTTTAAAGCGGTATTAGATGTGGAACAAGGATTTTTCTTCTTAAGGAATAGAAATTCTGTGTTACAGAGAGAAACTATTTTAATATTCAATCTCAATAAGAGTTTCTCCAGGAAGCATTTAGATAGCTTTAATGTATAAAACACCATCTACAAAGAAAACAGACAATCCATTTTGCTGCTAGGCAAGACTGCTCTTTACTAGTTTCTATTTGATAGTGTTTTTACCTTACTAAAAAAGAGACAAAACCTTTTATTAAGATATTTACATTCATGTTTTAAAACCCCTGGGTTCATTGTCACATGCAAACGAAACAACACACAGTACAGCTACAGAAAGAATCTGGCATCAGCTTTAATTTAAAAAGCCATCAATTGTGCCTAGCTTGGAAGACTTTCTTCTATAAACTCATGGTAGGCAAAGGAGAACCCCAGCAGTAGATGGGCTTGCCATTCCCAGACTTTTGAGATCAGAGTTAAAAACAACCCAAACAAACCAACAACCCAACCAAAACAAACTCCCACAACAAACCAACCACAAATCCCCTCAATTAGCCACATGCCCCTCGTTCTTCAGCCTGGCTTTTGTCATATTTCTTCATAGTCCCCCTTTCCCAATCCACACATGAATTTTCCAGCTTCCAGGACAAATGGAGACAGCTCAACTCACACTCTTGCAGTCTGCTGCTGACAAAGGGATTAATCGCAGCTCTGCAAATGCTCTTATGGCTACACCAGTCACTTGAGTGGCAAGAGAGAAGAACACTGACTACAGACAAACTTGGAGCTTTCTGAATAGGACTTGTCTCTCCAACAGGCTGCACTGTGGATTTGAGGAAGAGACAGAAATAGACAGCTTTAGTAAATGGAGACTACCACAACCTGACCCACATGTATGAGCATTTTAGAGCTGGCCACCAGGTAGCAGAGAGATGTTGCTGTAATAGTGCTGCTATACCAAGCCAGACCTCACTATTTACTATTCTATCCAATGCTCAAACATCTTTATTCCCAGCTAGCTTAGTAGCCCCAGGCTGAAAATATATTTTTAAAGCGTAACAATTAAAAATTGATACTTCACAGTATCAAAAAAATCAAGAAGTGTGGAAGGAAACTGTTTGAAGCCGTAAAAAAGTAAACCACAAAGCACTGCACTGGCATATTAAGGGTTCATTTCCAAGATGGCATTTCAAGACTGTCCTTCCATACTTAGGCAAACCATGAACCAAAAGAGTTAAACAGTATAGTCTCTTTCCATTCCCTGTACTTCGTTCATATATTTACATAAATCTTTTGTTGACAAAAAAAAGCCCTCCCATATTCTTGTAAAGACAGTTTTGTCCCCTAGAGAGATCAGATCAAAGTCCTCTCACTTAACATTCACAGAAGCTGCTGTTCCTGAAATCACACCAACAATACAACTTCAAAATTCCTGGGCAAAAATTTTCAATTCCATTTAAGCATCAAGTAACATAAATCCATCTTATTCACACAGAAAAGCAATTCAGAAACCACAAGCCACCAAAGACAGTAAAACACAAATCCATACGCAGATAGATTCTTCCCATTTGAGTTTTGGATAAGTACAACTGGTTTTAATGCACTTACATTTCAAACACATTTTCTCTTTATGGTTTAGAAGCACTGAGGGGGGTGGGATGGAACAGTATTTTGAGCAAGGCAAATAGTGGTTTTACTAAGGGACTGAAGCTCCCAAACTCATGTACCTGTGCAAGTGCACTGCTCTCAGAGCAGAGAGAAGAATTTTTGCATTTAACTGCAAAGACAGACAACAGCATTTAGCTCACGCATCAACCTGCATTTGTAACAGTTTCTCCCTAAGTGGTTTTTTTTTTTAATGCACAGAACTGTCATGAGCAGGAGGTTGTCACATCACATGCCATTAAAACATAGTAAGGTGAACAGACTGATCCCAAATCTATCACATCTTTCCAGTTTTCCCCATAATATTCACAAAAAGGTTTAGGGAACTGACTATCAAAACAGCGTTTTCAGCACATCTTCTCAGTCTTCTTAACCTATAAGCTTCAATCAAGTTAATTACTGCACTTTAAAAATAGAGACTTCATTCCTTACTCAGGCAAAGACTCCCATTAAAAGTCACATCAGAAGACAGCTTTGGCAGGACTGCAGCATCCTTCTATAGATTTGAATTCAAGTTCTCCCTAACACCAAGCATGACACACACGTGCTATTATTCTTCAATTACATCTTCAGGGCGGTGTTGAGGGAAAAACTGTAAGAAAGCATTCCTTGCATGTTTTTCAACTGTACAATATTTCATCACAAAATTTTCAATGCCTTATTTCATATTTGGTTGATTGCTGCCAGGAAAGCAATGAGGTATACTATATTTCCACAGACATAGATGGTTAACACAATCTGTTTAAACAGACGACCCTGCAAGAGAAGGGGAAGAAAAGCCATAGATGTATCAGTCTCTTTATTGTTTTAAACAAAGAAACATCCCATCTCATAGTAGTTATTTACAAAATTGCAACTTACCTCTGCTTCTGCAGATGTGAGTGACTGCAGTATCTGTACTCTGTCATCCTCTATCACTTCAACTGTTGGTGGGGAGGAAAAAATCAACTTAAGTACACTCTTAAAAAGGAGGGGGGAGTCATTTTTATACTGCAGAAGTCGTGATCCTGTAATTAAGTAACTAAGTCTTATACATCAAACTTGAAAAGCACTTGGAAGTCTCATTTGACATTTCATGACCTGTACTATTCACACTCACAGCACAAATGAAAAGTTATTCCAGATGTGACCTACGAAAAATAACTTCTGGACACTGAAGTGGCAAAACAAGTTCTCCTTTGCTACAGTGAGTCAACTAAACACTGAGTTTTGAGCTGAACAAAATATTTTAATTCAGATTTCATATCTTTTCTAAGTTACTCCTTCTCCCCATGTCACCTTACACAGCCTCTTCGCTAACCATGCTTCTTCAATTCTCCATGTCTCACCTTTGCCTTAGATACAGGTCATACACATGTGCAGTCATCTCCTCTCAGTGACACCAGCCAGTGAAGCTAAGAATTTCCAGTGAAGTTACTACCAGTCTCTCTATTAGACATATTGGAGTCAGGGTTTCACCTCCATTCCTCTGTTCACTCAGAATTGCAAGTGCTTGTGCTTAAGTTTCTGATAATTTTGTTCATGTAAGAACAGCCATTCATACCAGCAATTTGTCACAATAAAATGCAGGCTAAACATGCATGAATTTAAACCTAGACTTTACCTAGACTGGTATCAAAATCATGGCAAAAATCGTTAAGTTCTTGGAAAATACTTGCCTGTTTCAGTCTGCCCTTACTAACTGCGGCTTGAGAAGTAAGAACACTAAAGTGGCAAAAGAATAATTTTCAAGAACACTTTGGTCTTTAAAACTGGTTTACTCCCATACTAATTTGTACAGAAGATCTGACCCCATTACTTGAGAGTTCTTCTCATCAGCTTGCAAGTTAGAGGCCAAAGAACACCTCCAGAAATTCAATCCACTATTACATTATTTGCCTATCACAATCCTCAGCAAGGTAATAACAGGAGATTTGTTGGGTTTGTACCTTTACGTACGAGACAGTAGCTGTGTACTTCCAGAAGAACATCAGTACCAACATGCCAAGCTACAAAACCAATCATTGTATAGGTGTCCCATGGGTCTGGTAGGTCAAGTGCTGGTAGATCCATTCCCAAGAACATGGTCACCACTAGCCAAGAAAAAGAAAAACAGATACTAAGAGTGCTGAGTCAGGGTAATTAAAAAATGCTTTCACCACCTTTAGCAATAGATTTCCCACAAGCTGCCCAGAGCAGCTTGGTGAATGACGTTAAAGGAGTCCATGCAGCTAAGTTTGGTTTTTTGGCTTTTTTTTGGCAGTGTGAGAGCAGAGGCAGGAAGCAAAGGAGAAGGCCACAGTAGCTTTCATCCTGCTCAGTTCCCTATCACATCAGTCACACAAATACTATAGCATTTGTGACTGCCAACAAGACAACAGTCACTGCAACTTAAGCTTACTCTGGAAACCTGTCACCATTAACAGAATTAAGCCCAGCTTCTGTTTCTGTGAGTGAGTTTCCACTCCCTCATTAAATAACACTGAACTACGTTACTATAAGAATACTGTCCTCAAATCTTCCAAGACAAAAAGAAATTACTCAAGATAAGAACAGGTCCTTATTACAAAGATTCTTCAGATTTGTCTGTAATGTCTTTGGTTTTACACTTTGGTCGCTTTTTTCTCCCTGAAGCTGTATCTGATGGCCACTTAAAACTCACACAGAAGATGGCCAGCAATAAAAAGAATCTTCAGGGATGCCTGGACTGGATGCCCACTGATGTTTTAGACATCCTCTAAACAAAGTTACTTTAAATCACTTAAAAAGGGAGTTACAACTTCTACTGCTACTCACCAGCTAGTATTCTAGCTGTTGTACCAGTACTCCAATGAAACCAGTTAAACAATTGCCTCCTACAAAACAATGAAGAGCATTTTACTGATTACATATTAATCATAATACTTGGGGGGGGGGAACACAACAACATTGTTACCTACTTTAAATGTACATTTTCAACATAAAAAGAACTTTTAAAGAAACAGGCATATTTAATTCCTCTGGCTGTAAATTAACGAGTTAGTTTGAGTACCTTGGTGCATGACGAGATGGTCTGAAGCCTGCCATAAGTGGTTGAAAGATTGTCAGAGCCATCACAGTACAGCCGAGATAGGGATGAAAACCTGCGTGCTAAACACAGAACACTTTTCTTTAATACTACATATATACATATATAAAGACAGAAAAAAAAACAACATAACAACAAAAACTAAAATGCTGATAATTTTATTTATGCTTGTATCAGTAAGTCACAGTGGTGGAGCAGCACGTTGTTTAGACTAGCAGAAGCAACAGGACACAGTAAGCTGTCCTGCAGCTGGATGGTGATGCTGCTCCTTGGCAGCATGAGTCACTGGAAAGTCTGTGCAGTTTGTCCCATGCTTCTGCTGTATTAAGAAATTCAACCAGCTGCAGAGCAGAGAGCAATGACTATAGAAGCTATGCTCCAAGCTCTCCATCCTCAATCTTGTGTCTTCAGAAGAAGCCTGTTCCATAAGTCCTCTCAGAACTGGTTTCTTCTCTCACTCTGCACGTTGTAATCTTAACCCTAAACCATTTTATTCCATTTTCCTAGCTGTGACCACATTAATCTCTCATCTTTAATTCAGATACTCTCTAAACTTTTCAATTTCTGATATCACCTTGCACCAAATATTATACAGGTGACAGCAACAGGTATACAATCTCTCTCTAATGTTCCAGACTAAGCTTAGTCACTTGATACAGTTACTCAAGTTGATAACAACACTTATTTCCAGTAGGTTTATCACATTAATAAGTCAACCATCCCACCCTCACTCCCCTCCTAAATTCAAGTTCTCTAAGGAAACTGGAACACTTTGAAACTGAAAAAAGCTTCAGACAACTGAAACTTTGAGCGAGGAAGGAAGGAAAGTACTGAAGTTTTTCAGCTGTTGTTAAAGGAGGCCTACTTAAGTACAGCTTTCACAGCAATTTCCTCAGCAATAGCTGTGACAAATTCAAATAATCAGTTCATTTATTTGATCCAACCTTTAAGTCTGAGTTACCAAAACAAAAGCACACACTTACTTGGCTCCAACCTCCTCGGTATATAAAAGGCAACACAAAAGAAATGCTTGTAAGCATGACTGTGGTCAACATAAGCATACGATGCACCTAGAAAAGTTAAGTTTGCTTTTAGTAACTCTACAGCTTTCTCAATACACCATTACAATACAGTTAACAATGTTCTCAGTGTCCTCTTCAGACTGCTTCTACTAGTAAAGCAGGTGAACTCTGGGTTTGTAATTGTTCCATTTCATAAGATTAAAGAAAGATAAAAATCACGTCAAGTTAATCCATTTCTTGGATCTAGTAGGTTTATAATTCTGCTTAAAATACAGCTAGAAAATAAAGCTGGAGACATGGGGAGATTTTGCCCACCTGAAACCACATCTCCTTTCCAAAGAGGAATGAATGAGACCAGACAGGTTTGAAGAATCTTGCAATAATAACACCAATACTAACTGTGGTAATCCAAGCAACAAACATTAGTGCTCCTGAAAATTGAAAAAAAAAAATACAAGGTAAACATAACTAATTTAGCAGCATATGAATAGAGCTTCTAAGATTACCTAATAGTTTAGTCTGTATGTATATGGTCAGAATTTACCAGGGATAAGGTTTTGATCACCTGGTTCAGACTAGAACTTCAAAGAATTTATCTTGCTAGAGAGTAGACACAGCCATATAAAAGACATCACGAAGAATCATATTATGCCCGCACAGCACAACAGAGCAGCTGTGGTTACTGTGCATTTCATATGCACCAGTACAGTCACTGCATACTGGTTAAAGATTCTGTTCTGTCACTAACTTACACATCAGAGGATGAAAGGATATTTATTACAATTTGTTTGACAAAAAATGAGCAACAGTTCTCTCATGGGTCTGCTTTAAAGTCCAGTACTGTGAGAGGAAAAAATTCTGATTAACTTCAATGGCTTTGGACCATCAGTGAGGGGTTTCTCGTTTCAAATATAATTAAATCAATTATGCAACTAGAACTAATTAAGCCAGAGAGAGAGGTAAACAGAAACAAGTCCTAATTATAAGTTTAAGAGAAAAGGCAAATGAAGGTTAATTTTCCTGGGCAAAAATAATCTTTTAACATTGTCCTTGACATGAAAAATTCTTAATAACTTTCCTCTGTCGTCTGTCTCAGATCTTACTACCCATCACTACATATAACGTGAGTGCCAGAAAGAGGAAAGATCTACTCTGCAATAATCAGGAAAACTTAACTCTCCAGCCTCAACAAGTCTAGAACTGGAAGACAAAACTAGAAGTTGCAGCTTACCGTGAGCCTTGATAAGTCGCGGGGACCGGGAACCTCCAAGATCCTGAGGAAGGCCCGTGACATTGTACATTCCATTGGTGATCAGAGGCTGGCGACGGTGTTTGTATATTAGTCCACCTAAGCAGTCACAAAGTGATTTGTTTATGGCTGATGAAAACCACTGCACTTGTAAGTGTGTCCAGTCTTTATTTATGAATGCAAATCCTGGTGTGACCACTGACCATAATAAAACTAACATGCAGTTTGTTAAGAAGTCAGTTTGTGAATCAAAATTTCAACCAAAGAGGTCATCCAAACTGCCTCGTATGCTTAACGTGCAAGACTCAACTCATCCCTCTACAGAAAATAGCTTTCTCCACTATACAGACAAGACATGAAGAACAATTCCCTTTGATGCTAGTCTCCATTTCAAAGAGATGTGCCCACCACCCAAGAAGCTAACAATTCCTAGCATCAAGTGGGCAAAACATATACGTAAGTCTAACTTCCAAAAGCAAATCCATGATCCAGAGAGGCAGTAAAGACGACTGGACTAAGGGTCTCAAGCTTGGAAATCAGAGTCCTCAGTTTAAATACTAATTCTCAGCTAAGTCATAGCTTATATAAGGGTTACTAATTTAGAACTGTTCAAAGAAAAACCACCATATGAAAGTCAAGTTTACCTTCACTAGCTTCCCCGTCTGCCAGAAAGATGTAGTAACTGGCATCCAGATTAAATCTTGCTTTATAAGCGGGAAGACGAATACTCCTTCTGAAAGAACATTGAAGGACACCATCCACAAGCCTCCATGATACATCTTCAAGGGCATTCTGTGAAACAGGAGACATTTAATACCCAGTCTTTTCAGACTGGGAGAGTAACTGGCTTAAAAGCAACCCTGCAAAAGACGAGAGTGTCACTGATACACAAAGAAAGAGTGGCAATGATTGCAGGATGGCCTGCAAAAGACGAGAGTGTCACTGATACACAGAGTGGCAATGATTGCAGGATGAGAGGATAAAAATCTCTTGCATACCAACTTAGAAGGTGTGGCAGTAAGTCAACACAGCAACACAAGAGCTGGACTAATGACCACCAATTTTCCAGCTCATAACAACAACCTCCTCTTCCCTTCCAACCTTTAACTCAAGATATATCGAATGCAACTGTAGTCCTAGCAAAGGGACAGAGTAACACTGGGCATAGAGTTCCTCAATAGAGTAAGCTCCTACCATGAGACCTATTTTTAAAGAGTTTAAATTTAGACTTCCAAAGGGAACATTTATTAGGAAGAAGCAGCCAAACCAATCTCATCTTAAAGAATTATGGATCCATCTTACTATTTACAGCTGCAGTGCAAAATAAAAGCACAAAGCAGCAGCATACCATTCGTTTCTTCAAACCTACACTTGCAGAAGCATCTTAGTTGTTTTCAAAAGTACCTCTGAATCCAAAACAGGAGGACTTCGCCCCTTCAGATAGGCAGTGCTTACATAAACATGGTGGTCCTCATTAACACAGAGATATGCATCATCACCACCCTGGAGAGTTTAAAAGAAAAAGGTATTTATAGCCCAATAAAGCACACTACTGGCAGTCTCCAAAAGCTCTTTGAATTAATATATGCAACAAGATGGGAGACAGAATTCTGTAGCTGTCAAGCTATTATTTCCCAGATTTCAAACACAATTCAGTATTACAGGGAAATTGCATTAAGTCAGATGACACATAGTACAGCATGTTATGATTTACCCTCCAGTAGGGTATTATCAGAAGCTTATTTAATTACTTAGAATTTACTAAATTAGCCAGACAAGACAGATGTTATTTAAAAACTCTCTTCAGTTAAAAGTTGATTTTCTTTACAGCTGTAAAGACAAAGTGTTGTTAAGAACCAAGGGACATGAATATAAACAGCAACTCCTCTATGCAACAGTTACTTTATGGATTATGTATTTGTCAACAGCATCATCCCTTCACTTTAACACCAATTAGAAAAAAAGGATCTCTAAGCACCTCTTTTAAGATTGACTGGAGTTACTCCTGAACAAACAATGATTAAATGCAAATGGTTTTCAGAAAGCACAGCAATTCAGCTTCTGACAAGTGAGGGGTTTTGGCTAGGTAACAAAGAAAGATTAATCTAACCAGGAATTGTAGTCAGCTACCATGCAATCAGGTTGGATTCTGCTGAGACAGATATCCACAGGGAAACTCTACCGCACATAGTCAGTCCTGAGCTAAAAATTAATATCCACCTATAAAAGGCAACCTGTGCTTCAGCACTATGAGAGTATCTAAATTACTTTGTTTGACATCTATCAGCATTTCAGTTTTCTATATGCATGTTTTGCTAAAGTACAATTCAAACTTTACTAAGCTTTACGAAGAACATAAAAGCAACTGAATTAGTAGAATAGGACACTCACCATCCACTGGTCATGGGACAATGCAAATGCTAAATATCCTTCACTTGGACCACTCAGTTCAATAAGTACTGAACTCTTCTCTTGTTGGAAGGATAGAAAAAAACAGGAAGCACTCTCAGGATCACAGTTTGAAGGGTTCCTAATGCAGAACTTCACACTTCCACAACCTGATGCATTAAACTAGACAATTAAGCAAATAAACAAGTCATAAGCAGTGAAAGCTTCCCCTCTTCTTCCTCCCTTTCTACCATTTCTCCATTCTAGAAGAAAGCATACAAGGAGAAGCAAAGAAATGCCAGCTGTGTCTACACACCAGTCTTTTAAGCCATCCCTACAATTACTAACTTTGAAAAGAAAGTAAAAACTTCAGAGAAGTTTCCTTTGGTTTAATTTTTAGAGAGAACATCAGCTGTAGGCTGAGGGAGAAAAGAAGGGAAGAACAGCTTTTTATTTCCTTTAAAAAGTAGCAATTCCACTGATACACAATAAGAAAATACATGGATTAAAAGTCACTTATTTTGGATCAAA